ATGTTGACGTAGATCGTTGGATGGACGGTGAGTTCCAACGGAAGGGACCGAAGGAGTGCTGGGTTCTGGTGGGTAGTGGCATGGAACGCCCCGTGGTATGGTGTTCGTTTCTACAGAGACTGTCTCTCTTTGTTTTTCTACTCTGTCTATTAGACTTTACAGACTTGCAGTATTTCTTAAAAATATTATAGTCTAAGTTTCGTGCTAGGCGTGATTTTTATTTTGACGTTTACGAGTAGGCTTTAGAGTTACAGAAGCATTTCAAAATAAGGAAATTTGTCTAAGGAGTCGGTTTACTCGACGGCAATACTAGTAGAAGTGTAGTGTGGCACATTAAGGTGTCATGCGTCCTTGGTGGCATATTATTAGCGTGGAAAACAAGTAATAGCGGATTTGATAATAAGAGTAGACAGATATAAGGGAAGCAACACGACAGCATTAGATGGTCATGAGATATAAGATGATGAGCAGGTTGGAATACATGTCGAAGTAAGAGCTAGAATCACATTATGATGCTTTGGCTTTGTTACATCGTAACATTTACTCTTTTTAGAAGTCTATATGTTTATCTTTTTTTTCTTGCTTATGTTAAATCTTTTTTCTAAGAAATTGCAAGTAAGTTTATTTAGTCACAGAAGAGGGACTTTGTTGCTCATTTATTGGTCACAACTCACATGGTGTACACGTGAAGTTGTTTTCTTGTACCATCGTCGGGCGTAAAGTTTAGCAGATCATGTCTCTTATCATTACTTATTACTGTGCACAAGCGTAGCATATAGCACATCAAAATGGAAAAAAAAATGGAAAGGAGAATGTGCTAATAACTACATGCATTACTCATAGTAGTACTGGTTTCCCCATGTGTAAGGTGCAAGAATTTGGAGCCACGGCCGCTTGTTTTTGTAACACCAGCCCTGAATGAATAGAGGACGCAACAAAAAGAGAGCGTGCTTGGTATGATCATGGAAAGCGATATGCTCCCTAGGGGATTCCTTGATGATTATTGGCAAAGTATCGTGGTCTTGTACGCAAAGAAGCCCTGTCTGAGAGGAGCAAAAGGGGTAAGGAGATTATTATTTGGAAAAAATTCATATTACCTCCCTTAATTTTCGTGAAAGTCTGTTTTTCCTCCCTGAACTCCAAAATCGAACAAAAACACCTCCATCAACTTTTAAAACCATTTCATCTTACCTCCCTAGCCCTATTATAAGCATTTGGGAAGGTGGTTTTGTCCTTTTCTTTTTTATTTATTTCGGCTAAATCTTTGAAAAATCATAGTAAATCATAGAAAAAATCATAAAATGAAAAATCCAATTTTGTTTGACTCCATATGAGTAGATCTACACAGCGAACATATAATATGATATGCTTTAATACAAAGTTTTTGCTGTGATTTTAGATCTATGTTTTTCTGTAATTAATTGGAATAATTCATAGCTGCAGTTTCTATGGTTCAATTATGGTAAAAATTTTATGGTAGACTAATTACAATATGATTGAACTGTAGCAAAAATTTTATACTCATCGGATCATGTATAGCTTAGTTATAGATTTATTTAAATAAAATCTATAACTAAGCTATACATGATCAAATAAGTATAAAATTTTTACTACAGTTCAATCATACATTAATTAGTTCACCATAAAAATTTCATCACAATTGGACCATTAAAACTATAGCTATGAATTATTTTAATTAATTACAGAAAAGCATAGACCTAAAGCCACAGCGAAAACTTTATATTAAAGCATATTATATTATATATTCACTGTATAGATCTACTCATGTGGAGTGCAACAAAATTGAATTTTTTATTTTATGATTTTTCGGTGATTTACTATATTAACATTTAAGGCAATTAACATTTAAGCGTGTTGCAGCGAGCCTGCCTCTGCCTGCCGGCCTTAATGGGGGCGGAGCTCGGTTGGTTTCGTGGGTTCTCGTGCTCGGCTTTGCGCACTTGCGCCGCTGTCTCAGTGACAGCGAGTAGCTGTATGGTTGGGCGATAGAGTGGCAGGGCAGGGGCTATGGGCTATGGAGGAGGGCACATTGTGATCTACAACACGCACGCTTATCGTGATTTGAGAGATGAGAAAAAGGCTGCAGCCGCAGACGTCCATGCTCGGCGCCAGATTTTGTGGCGTCGAGGTCGGCGCCATGTATTATGGCGCTGAGGTACCGGCCACGTCAACGTCACTTAGGATCTCAGCCAGCCATCTCGGCGTCAAGACGTGTTACCTCGACACCATGAATCTCGGCGCCGACCCCTAGGGTCCAAAGATAAGTTTAAGTCTTCCAGAAAGTCAAACGTAAATTTTCTTTAAAAAATGGTTAAATTGTAAAAAATTAGGCACGGGGGCCTTTCGCGATGCGACTGTTGATTCTTCTTGCCTGGTCACCTGCGTGCCTGTAGATTCGTTCGTGGTCAGGACTGTTCAGCCAGCGTGTGCTTCTCTGCTTGGACCTTGGACGTGTTGTGATGCGACAAACCGAAGAACACCTTACGTGAAACGGATTTCTACCGTTGTGCTGCCGTGTTGCGTGCTTGCGTTGTTCTGTGTGCAGTGTGCTTGTGGATGCCTTGCATGCAACGGATCCCTCAGCATCAACGAGCAACGTGGAATAGCAAGGCTCGATTTGTGTCCTTCGCTAGGTTGGCTATAACTGATCGACCTTTTTTTTAGAATCACATTGCAAACGCATGTTCATGCTCAATCAAACATTGTATCGGCAGATGTAATGAATCTTTAGATGGTTCGAGGCCGGCCGTGTAATTTAGATAACCATGGCCTGCCAACATGACAAAGGCCTATTTGGAAGAACCATAGCTAAACTTTAGCTAGCTAGTTTGACCAGCTAAAATTTAGCTAGCTAGTTTGATGAGCTAAAGTTTAGGTCCTGTTTGGCAGGACTTCTCCACCAGCTTCAGAAGTCGTTTGGAGCCGTTTTCTGCCAAACAGAGTAAAGTGAAATAGCTTCACTGGTGAAGCCTCTAAAAACATACTCTCACAATGATTTGGGATGGGATGGAGCCAAAAAAAGTGGTTTCTCCTGGCTCCTCCTCCAGGCCTCTAAAAACATGCTCTCACAGGAAAGCCATTTTGTCAAACGGTTTACCAAAACCGCTTCAGCTCCACCGGTGGAACTGTTCGTGGAGCTGAAGCAAAAAAAATGGCTTCACTAGTGAAGTGAAGCCCTGTCAAACGGGGCCTTAGTTGGCACTGTTTGAATCTAACTAATTGGTGTTTATTTATCATTTTGCCCTTTCTTCATCCCTCCATCTCCGGTGCATGAGATTCAGATCCGCCCCTGACAACCTTCTGCCAGTCCGATCACATCCCTGCTCTCTCCCCCACGCTGTGCCCACCGGGCGAGCGTGATGCGCGCCTTGCTCTCTCCCCGTCGCGCGAGCGGACGACGGCCAAGTGCCACGCACGCCTCCCGCTCTCTCCTCGAAGGCAGACCCGCACGGATAGCACCTCCGATGGTGGCACGGCTCGACCTGCGGGCACGGCGTCCCCCGGCGGCAGTGCGGTGTCCTCTTCCTCGCTCTCGATGACCCCCCCCCCCTCCCCACCCTTGTCCTCATCTCCAACCTCCACGACCAATGGCGTCGACAGCAGGCCCTTCTCGACACCTCGAGTGGATCTTTCAACCTTTGCAGTCCTCACCGGTGGGGCGCGAGCGTCTTGCCGCCGTCGGCATCTGCCGTCGGGTTCACCGGTGGAAACGGCCAGGCCCGCGCGTCGAGGAAGAAAGGTCACGGTGGGGAACAGGGCTGAGCGCACAAATGTGGAAACAAACGAGGGCAATTCGGTGATTCACCACTTTTAGCTGGTTTTAGATGGGTTGGAACAACTAAGAGCAACTTCATTTGGCTAAAATTACTAGCCAAATTTCATACTTTAGCCATTTTATAAAATAGAAAACTCCTAAAAAAAGAAGAGGTTTGCAACAGTCATGCTATTTCTCATCTGATAGCTTTTTTTTAGATAAAGAAAATAGTGATGGTGCGAGGGTTTGAACACAAGACCCCATGGTTTAGGAGGTCATTCCTTCTCATCTGATAGCTAGCACCCATGATTGCCTTTATATGATCCCGTTGGAGTCTACTTTTTACTATACAAATTCTAAAATAGCCCTCGAAATAAGAATAACCGAGTTGTTGAAGTTGTTGTAATGGGATAATGGGTTCCCATTAGATAATAAGTCTTTTGCTAGTTTTAGCTATGGCTATTTGGATTTACCGTAGCTAAACAGGCCGAAGTCTGTTTCTCATGATTAAGGTTCTTACCAATATATGAATTTTGTAGGATGCTACTACTCGATCCTAGATCCACCACAATGATTTTTCCCCTCAAATCCAGAATCGATCAAATGCCTTACCCCTCCCTCTTCAAGAAATCCAAGCAGGTTTCATATGCACATGCACTTTATACTTGAATCTCACAAATACTCAATCCATCCTAAATTGTAAGACGTTTGACTTTTTTAACACCAAGTTTGACCACTCGTCTTATTCAAAAATTTATGTAAAATATCACTTCTTTCGTCGTGGTTTAGTTTATTAATAAAAATTCTTCAAGAATGACTTAAATTTGACTATATTTGCACAAATTTTTTGAATAAGACGAGTTGTCAAACTTGGAGGCAAAAAAGTCAAACGTCTTATAATTTGGGATGAAGGGAATATGTATTTTATACGAATCTCAAAGCATATCAAACCTGGGGTCCCACCATCTCATCCTGCCAGCTGGGCCCTACCGGTCCCCGTACATCGCAGCAGTCAGCAGCAACTGCGGAACCGCCTGCCCCTGATGAATTTTGCTCTGCAGCAACCAACCGCATCAGACTTCAGAGTTCAAAACCGCTCGCGTCGCGCCCTGTCCCTCCATCACCACCACTTCTCCCTCCACCCCTGCTCTGCTTCGTTCGAACTCCTCGCTTCTCTCCACGTCTCAATGTCTCACCCAACCCACGATCCGAGAACGCGATCGCCATGGAGCAAGACGAGCGCGAGGTCCCTGACCTACCCAAGGGGAAGGAGCACGAGCAGGGAGGCGGTGCTCCGGTGCCGGGCGGGGTGGCCGGTGCAGAGGGCGGCCTGGCGCGCGGGGCCGCTTCATCGGAGCAGGAGGGCGTCTCGGGGGCCGGCAATGACGGTTGTTGTGCCGCGGTTGGGTCGGAGAGCGAAGGGGAGGAGGATATTGAGGCGATCTTTGCTTCTGTGAGGCGAGTATTGATTCTGAAATCCGGAATGCCCCATTCTTGATTTCGTTCTTGGTTCGTTGTAACAGGAAGCTTCGACGGAGGAGTTGGGAGGGGTCGCTCCGGCGAGCAATGCTGGTCGTGGCGATGCGCCGGGGAGCGGCCGGAACGAAGACCCTGCGACGATTCGCTTCGGTAAGGCTTCCGCCGCATCCCGAAGTGCTCCCCTGTTCTTGTTTGTCTTCTTGATTCTGAGTTTCTAACTGACCATGGATTTCTCAGAGCTTCGAGGGTTTCGACCGACCAGGCGAGCGGTCGCGCACGCGATGCCGCCGTCGTCCTACCGCCGCCTGCCGCTCCGAAGCAGGAAGCAGTACAGCCCGACCCGCTTCATCTTCGCGGGAGACGCAGCGTCGGGCATCGCCAATGCTCATGATCCTGGCACTGGCACGTCAGAAGCAGCAAGCGGCCCACTGCCCACCGCCAGCCTCGGCTCAACGTCGGCGACGTCGCGATCCGTCGGTGTCTCTTCAGTGGCCAATGCCAGGCATGGCGCCAAGAACGAAGCGATGGTCTCGACGGCGATGAGACGCTATGGTAAGGTGTAGTGTATATAGCCCAAATGCATTCGTTCTTCTTCTTCTTTTTTCGATTCAATGCATTCGTTCTTTGATGTCTTCGCGATGCATCTGATCGAACGCGTCTGCCAGAGATTGACGTTGCGGTTGACAAGTCGTGCTCCGACGATCACAACACCGAGTCGAAGGATGTGGAAGCGGAGCGGGCATCCTCGTCATGCCGCCATCCTTCTCGCAGCAGGAAGCAGCGCCGCCCTGATCGCTGCATCTCCGACCCCGAGGAAGACGCCGGGGCCGCAGCCGCAGCCGCAGCCCGTGCAAAGGCTCGACGGGGTAACGTTGTCCTCGACAGGTTCCTCACCTACCTGGTCCGCACCTCGCCGGAACAGAGGCCGGAGTGGGTGAGGAACATCACGGCAGACGATGTCGGCGTACAGGGGCAGCGCGACAGCAATGTCTCGAGGACGGTGTCAGAGGACAGTCCAGAAGGGCCGCCTGACGGGAGCCCAAGGATCCTCGCCATTGTTGCCATTCTCGGCGCTTCCCTGGCGCTCAGCTTGGTCTCGTGCGTGCTCTTGTACATCGTCGGTCAGAGAACAGCCTCTGGGCTGCCGGACACGCACCAGAAGAAGGTAAGCGTCTTACTTCTGAGTTCAGATGAGTGATGACCGATTGCTGTTCTGCTTCTTCTTCTGGGTTCTGACGTGCATGTCTGTTCTTCAGTGAGCGATCTGAATGGTTCAACTTCAGCTTCAGTTGTTCTTCAGGGAGCGATCTGAATGGTCCGGCTTCAGCGTTCAGCAAAGGCTGCAAACCCCCATAGCTAAGGTCCTTCATTTCATGTGTTGTTGCCAACTAGTGAAATGTGAAATCCTTAGTTGCAAATCTTTAATAAGTGCAAGTGGTTTTTGTCTGGAAAGTTTATTGTTGTGGGGAATGGAACCGAGTTATTGCTGTTCGCTATATAGTTCTGTACATCTGCTTTTCAGAATGACAGGAAGGTTTTTCTTTTTTGTGTGTTTGAACTCCCAGCTTTGCAGTTTCCGAATTCTTATATCCATTAGTCTATCTATACAATAGTGTTAAAAGATGAAAATATACACTGTTAGACTTTGGGATTAGCAATTCTTCACGGGCTTGTATTTTTTTTTCTCAGGCGGAGCCATTGGATGATGATCTAACGGCTAAAGATTATGCATTGTTCATCTTACTCCTCTCGCCACTGCACCATTGAGTCCTATTGTTTTTACAAAGAAAGGCAACATTGAGTGTATATATACATGTGTTCAATTGGATGTACCTGAAACTTTTATCCAAATTATTGAATTTGAGAAAAGATCGACCAACGTAGTATAAAAAGTACTAACTACCCGAGCTGTTTGTGTCAATCATCATGCTCCTCTCTCCATCCTAAAATATAAGGGTTTATTTTAAACGTGTGAGATATAAAAGACTGGCTAGAAAATTCGCAAAAATAAAAAAAGAGTGAACGTGTGAGATTTAAAAATGCTGGTCACATATTAAAAACCAATAAAATATTGGTTCAAAATGAGCGAAGAGATTTAGGCCCCGTTCGCGTGCCCTTAAACCCGGCTTGATCCGCTTCTTTTTTTATCCGGAACAGTGTTTCTCTCTCACAAATTACTCCAAATTCCTCCGAGCGATCGGGGCCTTAAAAAGACTGACGACTGGTTCCTTGATCTGGCGGCTGGTGCAACACAACAGACAAGACCTAGGATAAAATCTATGATCATGTTGACAACATGAGAGATCTAGGAGAGAGAGAAATAATCGTGTATTTAGAAAACAATGCATGACTGCCTAGCAAGTGGTGCACTCAATACAAGACGAAGGTTGTGGAGTTGTGTATGCCTAGAAAACAATACTTGCAACAAGGGGCTAGGACTTCTACTGTCGACTCCAGAGCTTCAAGCTAGAGTTGTGTATGTCTAGTAGGTCAAATCGCTAGTTGTTTTCTTGTAAATCGCCTTCTTGTAAAACTAAGGTGGCATGGGACTCAGAAAGTCGAACCCCACCCAAAAAATGGGTTGGCGTAGCTTGCGCCGCTTATAGGTTTGTAATTTATGCTCTTATCTTATAAATGAAAGCCAATAACTCGGATCTTTCGAGAAAAAAAAAAGACTAGCTACAGAATGAATTCGCAAAAGAGGAAACAATAGCTACAAATTCACAAAAAAGGGCGAACACGTGACATTTAAATAGGCGGGCTACAGATAAAAAAATCAATAAAATATTGTTTCAATGACTCGAGATTTAAAAAGTCTGGCTACATAATGAATTTGCAAAAAAAGAAAAAAAAATGGCTACAAATTAAAGGCTTTGTAATTTATGCTCTTCTCTTATAAATGAAAGCCGATAACTCTTCTCTTATAAATGAAAGCCGATAACTCGGACCTTTGAAAAAAAGACTAGCGACAAAATGAATTCGCAGAAAGAGAAAAAATAGCTACAAATTCAAAAAAAAAGGGCAAACATGTGACATTTAATAAGGCTGGCTATGGATAAAAAATCAATAAAATATTGGTTCAATGAGTGAAGAGATTTAAAAAGTTTGGCCACAGAATGAATTTGCAAAGAGAAATGGATCGCAAAAGGGGAAAAAAGTCGCTACAAATTCGCAAATAGAAAAAAGGGCGAACACGTGGCATTTAAAAAGGTTGGCTAGAGATCAAAATTGGTTCGATGAGTGAAGAGATTTAAAAAGTCTAGCTGCAAAATGAATTTGCAAAAAGAAAATAGGTTACAGATCAAAATTGGTTCGATGAGTGAAGAGATTTAAAAAGTCTAGCTATGAGTGAAGAGATTTAAAAAGTCTAGCTACAGAATGAATTTGCAAAAAGAAAATAGGCTACAGATCAAAATTGGTTCTATGAGTGAAGAGATTTAAAAAGTCAGCTACGTGCTTTCATTGAGAATCAGGCTAGAGATCAAAATTGGTTCGAGATTTAAAAAGTCAGCTACAGAATGAATTTGTAAAAAGAAAATAAAAAATAGAGATTTAAAAAGTCAGCTACAGAATGAATTTGTAAAAAAAAAAAAAATAGAGATTTAAAAAGTCAGCTACAGAATGAATTTGTAAAAAGAAAATAAAAAAATGCTTTTGTTGAGAGGACTCAAGCCCCCCTGCCTACCAAACAGGTGCTCCAACTAACTGAGCTACAAAAGCAACTCTGTTATATGTTTTAAATCTTGACTGTTCATGTCTCTAGGTCAATGTACAACAATAACAAGCTAAATCTGGTGTTCTGCTTGCTTGCTAGTCGAGGAGTCGGCGCACACAGAAGCACAAATACAATTAAACGTCACGTTCAACCCAGAAAAAAATTACAGAAAAATTAATAAGACGGAACAACTGGAAACTCTGCAAAAAATGTACCTGCCATGTCTTTACTTACAAAATCTCGTCTAGAGAAAAAAAAAGCTTTATTTGTTCCGCTGAGCTGCATCACTTTGTGGTATTTCTTTACAGATTTTTTTTTCAAAAGTACATATTCGACTCAAGTATAATGTAACATGCGCAATAACAATAATCTACTCTGGTGTTCACATCTTCCCTTGCTAGAGACGAACAAGCCGTTTGCAAACAAACTGCATTTGCAAGCTAGAGTAGTATTGCTTACAGCATTTCAAATTGTGGTTATACAGCCTCCCCTTGTTTGGCAGAAATACTCCTAACCTTTGCTATTTTTCTCATCTCACCAAAATGTGTCAAACTAACTGAAACAATATTACGAATGAAGGGCCTCATCCGTTGTTTGTCTGGATGAAGCAAGCAACTCTTTGAACTGTGCTAATGCCTTCTCACTTATGGGCTTAAACGGTATGCGCTTTATCACATGGGCTCCAAAGAAGTATAACAGGGCATCTGTTGCAGTTTCCGTGTTGATACCTCTTGCCTGGAAGTAGAAGAGCTCATTTGGATCAAGCTCACCACTGATGGCGGCACCATGAGTACACTTCACATCATCAGCAATAATCTGAAGGTTCGGTTTGACATTAACAAGCGCCTTTGGTGATAGGATAAGACACTTGGTTTCTTGCCCCGCATCAGTTTGTTGTGCATACCTGTGAATCAAGACCATCACAATATTAGGATGCAATTCTCGGATTGCAGCTTCAGACATAGCTGTGTGTCATGACTCATGAGTAAAACAAAGATGGTGGACGTCCTAGGAATTATATAACTGCATCTATGTATCACCGATACACGATACGGGTACGAGTACGGGAATACAGCGTTTGTCCAAAAACAAGGATAAGCCGATACGTCCAATATATAAAATTTATAATTAAAATAATTGCATTTACATGCCCTCAGGGAGAGAATCTAAATGATTGAATCCATTTCAACAAGACGTACGAAGGAAAGCGAGGATCTAAATGAACAAGCAGGCAGGAACTGACTGGACACCATAGACAGAGAGCACCTATCTCTGAACCTTCAGCAGCTGCGCAAGACGATCTCCCAAGTCCCAGAGCTTCAGATCCAAAGCGGTGGTACTCACTCACGGGGACACGAGCACACCCAGTGGCGACGTGGCTCCCAGCAAGGTGGAGGTGCTAGCTTCTGACAGCATGCACTCCTAGTGAGGCGGCGCGCTAGATCCTAGCGGCATGTGCTCCGTGCGAGGTGGCAATGCTTACTCCCTGTCCGTGGCGGCGCCGAGAAGCAAGAGATGGGGGCGGAGATGAGATACCCGGTGTTCTGGAGTGAAGCTTGAGAATGGATGGGCTCATGCTGTTGGGCTTGCGGTGGGCTGTAAAATGAGGTACTATTCGGCTGGCACGTATGGTCACAGTGTATCTCGCCGTATCGCCAGCTAAACCAGACGATTTTTTACCTAGTTTTCTGATACTTGGTGATATGTGTATCACGCCATATCGCCATACAGATACAGGTATGGCGCCTCCCTGGCGAATCAGTAATACATAGAACTGCATAACAATATAACTATAGTTGAAACAAAATTCAACAATCAATAGGTCATAAGTACAGAAGGATGATAAAACAGCTTTGTACAAGGTAATAAGTAATGTTTGTGTGGCTTTCTGCTAACTTTATTTCAATTATTTTGTGTCAAGAAACACACCAAACACCTTATACAACTACTCATACTATATTATAGACTTCAAGTTAACTTAAATCTATCCTAAGCAAATATTTAATCTTCGGATGCGATATATTCAGTTACTGTGAAATGTGAGCAATAAAAAGGTTTCTGGCACAGGCATGAAACTAGAACAAATTTTATGCCACGAACACATCAAATGTGTTATGCAACTATATATTATATTCCAGATTTCAGTTAAAACTTAAATCTATTCTGAACAAATATGTAACATCAGGATGCAATATATTCACCTACTGTGAAATATTGAGCAATAAAAAAGTGTATGGCACAGACATGAAACTAGAAATCTATGCAATGCTGGTCAGGTAAATGACCGGAATAGATAACATTTCTCCAGGAAGAACAAAACAACAAAAAGAAGAAGAAAAAAGCTGATAAATATACCTGTTGACTTTAATATTGCCATCAAATATGCTATTTCCTGTGCCACAGGCAATGCATTTGTGGAGCTGTCGTGAAAAACCTCTAGGGTGATCAAGTATCAGTCTGCTGTGCAGATCATGTATCTGCTTATTCTGAGATGTTAAGTGAAGTGTTGATAGTTCTGTCTCTGTCTCAGAACCTAACTGCTCGATATGGAGATTGTGTCTGTTCAATTTTGCTCCAGTGCTGACCTCAACAAACTCATATTTACTAGTTGTATCCTGCAAAAAGAAAAAAGAAAGTTTCACAACAAATAAGACTGATTTCCCCTGTTCAACTAAGATTCATTGATCAATCCCAGCCCAAACACACTAGAGCAAGCACAACTCCCCTAACACCCACAATGATTATTAACACTAGCAAATTGGAGGCAACTGTCTTGAGTCATGACTCATGAGCTAGATCAAACAATGACACCCTGGAATGACAAATGTCCCCAGCTCAGAATCAATCTGAGTAACGCCAACAATCTCTCTTCCATAATTTGATCAGAGTTGGGTTCTCTTATCATCACTATCCTATCCCATTTCAAGAGCATATAACACTCATTCACAACTACAATTACAAGTATCCTAGAACATTTATTTATCTAAAATCCAAACTGACCTGCATGACAACTGTCCATTTAGTATGTGCTGCAGCAAATGATTGCTGTTGCACATATGAATGAACCACTCTTGCGCCCTCATCGATGATAATCTCTGCCACTGGATTGGCCCAATAGCAACCACCTTCTTCTCCAGCCCCAAAGTGCTCCTCCACTATGGCCACCTCTGCTGCCTTCTCGGCCACGACCAGAACCCTTGGATTGGACATCTGCATACTCTCAGCGCCCCTACCGGTATAGGCGAACATGATGTGGATTGGGTCGTCGGCCACCTTGACCCCCTCAGGCACGTGCACAACAACGACGTCACTCGTCCCAACGGCGTTGAAGTCGAAGAAGAGGTCCTTGTGGGCGAATTCAGCGGAGGCGGCAAGCGCGGCGGCGGCGCGGTCGCGGGCGCGGCCAGGGGGAAGATCGGCGAGGGTGCTGACATGGGCACCAGAGGAGGATAGGAGGATTCCATCCGAGAAGAGGACGTGGGAAGAGAAAGGGGAGGACGGCAGCGCGATGTCGGGCTCCCGGGAAGGGAGGGAGATGGGGAGGGAGCGGAGGTAGGAGATGTCAGTGAAGCGGAAGGCCTCGCTGGAGCGGCGTGTGGGCCAGGGCGTGGAGAGGAGGGAGAGCGCGGAGGCGGAGCGGAGGGGGTCGAGGAGCGGGGAGGTGGAGGTCACCGAGTCCTCGAGCTGCTCGGCGATGCGGAGGACGAGGTCATCGGAGACGGCGGGCGCCGCGCGCGCCACGGAGGCGGATACCGGAGCGGAAGAGCGGCGGAAGCGAAGGAGAGGCGGCGGCGTGCGGAGAGCGGTGGAGCAGGAGGCGGCGCACACCGGCGACGGCGAGGACATGGCGTCCGCGAAGCTTCTCCTCGTCTGGCCAGTGGCTGCGGTCGGACTGCGGAGGACCCTCGTGGCCGAGGAGGTTGGCAAATCCGAGATCCTGACAGGTGGGACCAGGAATGAGAACCGACAGCCCAGCCCACTCAAGGAAAAATATGGACCGTGTTGGGCCGGCTCATGTGGGCCTAGCCCTGATCCTGTGGAGCTGCACGTAGCCTTATCCGCTTTCGTTCCCGCAGCTGTCGTTCGCTTTGCCTTGCCCCGGCAAAGCAATGGCGCTCCGTCTCTCTGCTCCGTTCCTCACCTCGCGCTTTACGCCGTCGCAGGCGTCGGCCCCGCGCAGGCGCACCCGGGCCCGCTCTTTCTCTCCGTCCGCCGATGCGCGGGCAGCGTGCTTCAGGAGACCCTACACGTCCGTTCTAATTGTCCCCACGGGCGTCGGCGCGGCCGTCGGGGGCTTCGCCGGCGACGCCCTTCCGGTTGCGCGAGCCGTCGCCGGCGTCGCTGACTGTCTCATATCCCACCCAAACGTAACGTCATGGAGCCCGTCATAAACATTATGCTGCTGTACTTCTGTTGCTGTTTCTCCATTTGAATTTGGTTGCTCACTTGGAGATGGAAATTTCATGTCGCAGGTGCTGAACGCGGCGATGCTGTACTGGCCGATGCACAATACACTCTACGTGGAAGGGTACGCCCTTGACAGGTTCGCAGAAGGATCCTGGGCACTCCAACCTGTTCACCAGAACAAGGTTAGTGTTGCATTGACTCGCGCTGTGGCCTGTGGGGATTACTCCCACCAACATCCACGGCTCTGTTCGCTTGAGCTTATAAGCCAGAATCGACTCTACTTTTTCAGCCATGGAATAGTGTTTTTCTCTCGTAACAAATCAGCACTACAAATCAGCTGCAGCAGTGCCGAACAGAGCCGGGCTATAGTGCTGCTATGCACTATTGTTACCGAAAGAGATGGCCAATGACACAGTATAACTGATCACACCTAGGTAGGCTTGGTGTTGGATTCTGGAATCGAGGAAGACCTCCGGCTGCGCCACTTGCAGGTTGCAGATGCCACGAGGGCTTCTCTTGGCTTGCCTGTAGTGGAGTACATTGTCACAGATGCTCCTCTGGAGGTGCACACTCTGTTCTGATACTAGTACTGGTAGTTGTAATTGTAAGTATAATAAACTGCTTGCATAATCTTACTTTGGGCATGCCCATTTTTTGGTGTAGATCAAGACATGGTTTGATCCCAGGTGTGGGAAGTCGACGGGGAGTGTTGGTAACTCTGATTCTCTTCTGAGAGCAGTGGACGCACTAGTGACACATTCAGACGTGAATGCTGTGGCAATTGTTGCACGCTTTCCAGATGATGACCCATAAGATTCAGATTGTTACCGGGAAGGAAAGGTAAACTCTTGTCTGCTCAAGTAGTTTGTTTTATTTTTATTTGTATGATGTCTTGTACCATTGACATTTGCATCAAAGCATTTTTATAGAGAATTGAGTCGAAAATGTGTCTTCTCAAGTTTCAAGACATTCAATTATAGAAGTCTGATAGTTACACAGACTCGGGTCTGAAGTTTAGTGAATAGAGAGCTAGTGCCATCGTTCCCCTAGAATATGGAGGTCATTGCCCCTTTATGGCACTGGATCTGTATATTGACGGGTCTGAGTTCTATTGAGTTGATGCCAATTAACAGTGCGCTGAGGTTATCATTTGTTGGCAAGCGTATCTTTCATTTTCTAGGTGGTGAATGTTTTTGTATTTTTCATCATTTATGTTCTTGATTGATATTTCATTGCAGGGTGTTGATCTATTGGCAGGAGTTGAAGCAATTATCAGTCATCTAATTGTGAAAGAATTCAAAATCCCTTCTGCACATGCTCCTGCAGTGTTACCCCCACCACTCAGCCCATTAGTATGCCCTAGATCTGCTTCTGAAGAGGTAAATGTCCATGTGTACTCGTGCATAACTTAGTTAAGTAATTATCAATTTACTAGTGATATGCTTCACAATCACACTACCATTGCAAGGCTTATATTAGACTAGTGCTATGTGTTCAGTTTTTAGTTACAACGTTTTCAGCTGCCTTTTTGCCTCTTTGATCATATATATATATATATATATATATATATATATATATATAGATAGATAGATAGATAGATAGATAGATATAAATCCTGTCTTATGTCAAACTCGATACTTTTTTCTTTTCTTTTTAATCTGATTTCTTATTACTTCTGTATGTTGTTTGTTTATTCATAATATGTCTTTATCAAATAGATTGGATATACATTTCTGCCTTGTGTGCTTGCTGGGTTAAGCAATGCTCCACAGTATGTCATGAGGAAAGGAAGCTTAGACAATGGTTGCATAGTTGCTGGTGATGTTGACAGTGTTATTCTTCCCAAAGACTCTTGTGGAGGAGATGGTACACTTGCTTTTGCTCGGGCTGCAAGAAAGGACAAGGTATAATGTCCATATTAATTCGTGATGAAAGATGGAAGTATGTATCCACTTTGACCACACACACACAGTGTGTTAGATAAGTTCATCAATGCAAGTTATGTTAGCATCATGATTGGAGCTAATTGCAAAAAGTGTTAGTCATAATTAACTAGGTCAGCTAAGTTGCTCATTTCTTCTTCTTTTTTGCAGCCCTTAATCATTACTGTACAGGAAAATGAGACAGTGCTTGATGATACTCCAGACAAGTTCGGCATAGAAGCGGTACACAACATATGTCTATAATCTTCTTTTGCATTCTCTTTGACTCTTTCTGGCAATTGTTGGTAACTTTGAATGTTTTCTCAGCTGAATGTCCGGAACTACTGGGAAGCAATTGGAGTCATTGCTGCTCACAAGGCAGGTGTCAATCCAAATGCTCTTAGAAGACAAGGGATTGATCATCTTAAGAGTTCAAGACGATTATATTCTGCTCACTCTTCAAGTCCTAAGCCATCTGCCCGTCCTCCAGCACGATAAAGTACATATACAGCAGCTAGTTAGACAAATTTAGTACTAAAAAGAGCACCAGCGGTAGTAGAAATCACTTTAGATAGGTCACCATTAGGAGCTTCCAAAATTTTGAAGCCCAGGTACATATTTTCCAGACCGTGCTGCGGTGGATCCTACACATAGCATCTACACCGAATTTTGTCGTGTCATCTAGTCTGGACTTGGCTGGCGGCATGCATGAATCTTTCTCCACTGCCTTACATTTCTCCAATCTCCAGTCGGTTTGTCAATCATTTACATCATTATTTTGCCAAGGAAAACACAGCGCTTGTAATCATTTTTCTCCGACAATATTTTAGTAAGTTGGTAGAAGCAGTAGTACTGTTTTGTTTCCCGCTGAACATGAAAATTTATGCTGAAATGCCAAGCTGTTATGGCCTGGTTTATCACATGAATGGTCTCAGCTCATTTGTCTGCTATGCTGTTGTCCGACTGCGCATTTGCATCTACTTTAGACATATTGTCAATCAGAATTGCATTGGGATGGCCTGGCTTATACTTCCTTTGTTCCAAACAACGCTAACTTATCTACAACATAAAATATGCAGCCTGTTCGCTTAGTTGTATTTGGCTTATAAGCCATGGCTTATCAGCCAACGAACAGTATTTTTCTCTCACACCAAACCAGCCAACAGTACTTTCAGCCATGGCTTATCAGCCAAACAAGCCCAAACGAACAGGGCGTAGATTGATTAGATACAACATGAAATATATTTGATAGTGCATTTACTTATATGTCTATATATTTTCTATAAACTTGATCAAAGTTTAGACAAGTTTGATTTAGGACAAAACTAAAACAATTTAATTTCAAAAATAGGAGCATCAGCAAAGGAAATGTTGGTTCAATTTGTTTGTCTCAAACACTGTTACTAAAATCTGTACTATATGGTTCCAATGCTATTAATACCTCCAATTCTTTTATCCTCACCGCTGCCCCGTCGCTGAAGCTGTGAGGTGGCCTGGCAATGACATGTCAGGTTCGGACACTTTGAGCTCCATGGGCTCAAGGTGCTCTCTAAGGGGAAGCTGGTGCGAGGGCTGTGCGAGGGCTGTCGTTAGAACAATGTAGTGGAGCGGCGCAACCAGACCATATTGGACATGGCGCAGAGCATGCTCAAGGCAATGCGCATGCCAAACTGGTCACTGCAACCGTCTTCATCTTTAGCCGTGCGCCGACAAGGAGCGTCGAGGGTAAGGACTTAGTCGAGGGAATGACTCGCCTGGTACGGTTACAAGCCACCCATGCACTCTTTTTTGCATGCTTGGCTGTGTTTTGCATGTCAAGGTCACCGACGGGTATCAGCAGGACCTCAGTGATTACAATACACACCGATGGTGTTCATCGGGTACGAGTCGAGCTCCAAGACATACAGGTTCTACAGCCCGAACACCAAGCGCATCCACATCTCGTGCGACGTGGTGTTCGAAAGAGGCAAGGCGGCATGAGAGGGAACAAGCCGGAGGTGAGCCCAAGCTCCATAGGCTCGGAGCCATTCCATGTCGAGTTCATGACAGTGTCGACTGATCATGAGGCATCGGTCACACCGTAGGGAGGCAACACAACGCCACGCGGGCCGCGCCCCATGAGCTGATCGATCGCGCCGTTCCATGACCGAGAGCATGCCACACGCCATGACCACTACTAGAACTCAACAAAACGAGAAAGAAAAGGAGAGCCGCTGCATGAACATTTGCATACGTCTGTCTTTAAAAAAAAACTTACCCTCAATTTAGGCTAAGACCGAGCCCAACTTATTGACTAAGCCGAAGTAGATGATCACGACCACTAGCCAACCGAGCTAGAATTATCTAAGGAAAATACAAGTCTTGCTTACTTTTGCTACGTCCAGATGGTCTCCAAAACTTATCTGTTGAATCATTTGGCATTCAACCACTCAATCCGCGGCCCCTACCTTGTGCCTTACGTGACAAAAGGTGGAACAGTGAGAGATTGTGTACAAGGTGCCAAAGGCCACCACGGATTCAGGAACCGGACCCCATAACTACAGAGCACGCAAGCACAATCAGAAGAGATACGCCAGCCAGGTAGAACAGTGAGCAACAATGAGGAGGAACAGTCTGTCTGTCTACGAGCCTAACGACTGCACCACACGACCAACCATTTGCTGATCTCTTCAGATCATGCATGATGGGCTAGCTGATGGCATGATGCTCCCCCTAGCTAGTAACCGGAATTCAGGGACGTCGCTGCTCCAGATGCCCCCTACTACTCCTGGACCGCCGCTACCGCTTGGTGCCCTAGCTTAGCTAGCCGAGCTTGTCTTCATGGGCAATTCAGGATGCTAACATACCAAGATGATGGATGTACCAGCCTACCAGGTGTGTCACTCTAACTGGGCAACACTGACTGACATATCGGTCACCTGAATTTACACTATACCAGCCACCACCACCAGTGAGACGACATTCTTTCTGACTGCAGAATGTTGCCACTGACATCGATCGATGCAAGGCCAAATCATTTTGCATGCATGCACTGCATTACAGTTGCAGCGCACAATAATTCGCAGTCCATTGATCTGGTCCAGCGTTGCAGAAAAGCGAAGGAAGGCACGTATGAATGAATAATTGAGCGTGTCCACGAGGCAGCAACTATGATGTGCTGCGCATTTTCACGACACGTCACATTCACAAAAGATGAAGAGCCTCTGTTACAGAAGTAGCAGCTACTCCATCGATTTCACCAAAAATCATTGCTGAGTTCTCGACCTCATTCACACCCGTGCGTATAGGCTAGGATGAGCAGTAGTTTTCGGTGCGCCTTTTCGATATTCCAGTTGAGTGCTCCTCTTGCATTGCTTTTTTTTTTCGAATACGCAAAAGATTTACGTATCATTGTATTAAGGAGAAAAGATTAAAGAAACATACAACGCGCTTCTAATGAGCGCCGAAGCTGGACCATCCTAGCAAAAGACCTTATGTTTCGATATTACATAAAAGGAAACGACTAATATCGACACAGCTTTGTGGTCTAGGTGGCCTTGCGTCTTCGCGGCTGCCTAGACGGTGCCTTTACAACGGCCAGGAAGAGCTCGTCCAGCGCCTCGGCTACGGAAGCAGTCAGGTTGCCGTCGAAGAACCTGTCAAAGGCCTCCAACTCCGAAGCGGATGGCGTAGATGGACCCCTGGTGTAGCACATACGCTGCATGATCAACACCTCACCTCGCTTAGAAGTTGGCACTCGGGAGAGGCTCTGAGCCGCCAACCACCTGCTCCGCCACGGCAGTACCGGCTTAGCAGGAGGCTGCTTGAGAGGCTCGCGAATCAACGGAGAGTCCCTCTTACGCGTGACATTGTTGATGAAGCTGTCGAGGCGTCGTTTGGCAGAGCCGTCGTTGTCCACAGCATGGTGGGTAACCCCTGGTGGTGAACTAGAAGGGCGATCCACCGTGAGGTCGGGCGCGTGTGTCTTCGGCGAGTCCACTGCCCACTGAATGGGACGTGGGGGTGGTGTCCGCAGCACACAGGAGGCTACCGCATCCTCCAGCTGAGGGGCGCCACTGCCGGTGCCTCATCCGGAAGCTAGGGGTCGCCGAAGTTGACGGGAGGTGCTCAAGAGAAGACCACGCGATGATCTGACTGCCGACGAGCGAGGCTGCGAACTCCTCAACCATCGGGTCCTCCGAGATGTCGCGATCCTACGTGGCGCCCGGGTACAACGTGAGCGTCAATGGGTCGGGTTCAACCATGCCCGTCGTGTTGGTCAGCCCACCGTGCCTTGCCTCAGTTCCAGCAGCGATCGAGGTGAAGTCCGGTGCCGTTTGGGTGGCCCCTGTCGACCGCCCGTGACTGTCGGTGGCGACACTCGTTGCCGTAGCAGTGTCGTCCCCCTTCAGTCGGCGTCGGTGTCTCCGATGCCTCCGCCGTCTGCGCCCACCGCTGCCTCGCGTGGTCGCACCTGGCACAGCAGCTGCTGCACCCAGCACAGCCCCAGTCGCGCTCGACGTGTCGCCCTGAGTACGCGGCCGGTTGCCCAAGATATGCTCCCGGATAGGGGGTCGTTGCCGGCCTTCTAGGGCACCAACTGTGCCAGAGCCGGAAGGAGGCACCTTCCGCCGCTGCTTACAGTCCCGCGCGAGGTGTTGGAACCCCTTGCATCGGAGGCAGCGTGGAGGCAGCTTGCAGGTTGCCACCCTGTGCGCGGCGGAGAGACAGTTGAAGCACTTCCCGCGTAGATCCGTCGGATAGCGGGTAGGGGGCCGCTGGTTCGTCGATACAATGCGGGCGGGGCGTGCCCCTCCGGCACCGCTTAACGACCCCTGCGACAAGACCTCACGCCAGTCGTCGGCGTCCGGAGTGGAGATGCGCTAGCGGACGGAGCCCCGTCCGCGACGTCCGAGGGGCTGTCGGGCGGGGACACGGCCATCCATGGCCCGAGTAAGCAGCCTGTGCACCAGCTGGGGGCGCGGCCGTGGCCGGCGAGTCCTGCGGTTGCGCCGCCCGTGCACAACGCCAACACCAACAGCACTGTTGTGCGCACCTCCTGCGACGTTGGCTGGTCGGGCCCCCTCAGCCAGGGGGCGCTTGCCCCGCTCAGCAGCAGCGTTGCCGCGAGTGAGGCGCGGCTTGGCACGCTCCAGCAAAGGCGACGTCCGGAGCTGCGACCCCTAGTGGACTGCGCCGAGGTAGGAGGTTGGGGAGGTGACCGGCGACCTCTCCGCGTCAGAGTCGTCAAGGTCCTCATCCGCCCAACGACGAGCCTTGGAACGCCCCATCGATCCGTCTCCAGGGTGGAAGGGGGAGGCGAGGGGGGACAAAGAGGATGACAGGCCGGGCGCAGAGGGGTGCATGAGGAAGATGTCGAGCCCCGACGCCGGATGAGGCCGCTGTGGCAAACTAGGCGCCGAGGCGTTCTCGTCATCCGAGACGTCCTCGACGAGAACTGGCGACTCGTCCTCCACCGGCCGCGATTTGGGCTGGGCGGCGGTTGGGGGGGCACGCCA